CACCTTGGACTTCTTCCTTCATTACCATTGGCTGTTGATCATATGCTACCTCTTTAAATGGTTAAACATTGACCATTTCTCTTTGATACAGTGACTCTGTGTATTCCTTTCATCTGCCATTCAATATTTTGCATATAGAATCTCTCAATATTTCAAGTCAAGATTTGAATTTAAAATATTAGTTTACTAAAATATTAGTGGGTATATAGCTGGTCAGGAGAGAGGAGCATTCCTGAGATATTGCATGGGGAGGGGGATAGTCTTTTCAACAGATGGTGCTGGCAGAACTGGAAAGCGATATGCAAAAGATTGAAAGAAGGCCTTCACCTCACACCTTATACAAAACCCAACTCAGCATGGATTAAACACCTAAATGTGAATCCCAAAATTATGAAGGCCATCAATGAAAAAATAGGGACAAATGTGAGGGCTCAAATTCAAAGTATACACAGACTACCAAACATTTTGAAAACTACACAAACAAAAGTAGACAAAATATATGATTGGGACATACTAAAAATTAAAACATATGTGTATCAAAAGACTTCACCAGAAGAGTTAAAAGGGTACCCACAGAATGGGAAAAATCTTTTGCAATGACACATCAGACAAGGGATTCATTTCTAATATATATAGGAAACTATACAAGAAAATACAATTCTACAAGAAAAAGACAACCCAATTAAAAATGGGCACAGGATATGAACAGACACTTCACCAAGGAAGAGTTTTAGGCAGCCAACAAACATATGAAGAAATCTTTATGATCACTAGCCATTAGAGAGATGCAAATCAGAACAACAATGGGATATCATCTCACACCAGCAATAACAGCAAAGATCAAATAAGTAGAGGACAGTAACTGCTGGTGAGGATGTGAAGAGACTGGGACACTCCTGCATTGCTGGTGGGATTGCAAAATGGTCTAACCTCTCTGGAAAGCAATATGGCGCTTCCTCAGAAGGTTAGAAATGTAAATACCTTAAGATCCAGGAATTCCTCTACTTGATATTTACCCACAAGAAATACGAGCCATAACACGACTAGATATATGCACACCAATGTTCATAGCAGCTCTATTTACAATAGCAAAAAGATGGAGATGGCCTAAGTACCTGTCAACTGAAGAATGGATAAACAACTATGGTACATACACAAAATGGAATATTATGCTATTTTGAAGAACAACAAGGAAGCTGTAAGCTAACTCATAACATGGATGAGCCTTGAGAACATTATGTTGAGTGAAATTTGTCAGTCACAAAAGGAGAAATACTGCATAGGACCACTACTGTAAAAGACTAAGAAAAATAACCCATACGAAAGGGGTGTGGGGGGGAATTCTTTGCTGGTTACTGGGATGTGGGGAGTGGGGTGAGGGGAGGGAGGGGAAGGTGGAGCATAGGGTAGGAAAAAGACACAGGATAGTTTGGGTGCTGGGGAGGGGGGCAACACACAAGAAGGGGAGGAGAATGGAAGAACAAGGTTGATGGGAGAACAGTTAAGCAGGTTTGCATGGGCTAAGTGGGACAGAGGTAAATAATGATGTATGCACAACCTTGGAATCATAGGGCTCTGGGATACGGGGATTGAGGCATGGTTGGAATGGGCAAAACAGGGGAAATAATATGCTTGGCTGTCTTTTGAATCTTTGTTTCCCTTGCATACCATTATAAAATAGACACTTGAGGGGGAGAGAAAGGAATAACCAGAAATATCATCATAGAAATCTTGTAAGTCTGTCTTCTGCCTATAACTGATTGGGATACCTAAAATGGGGCTACAGGTTGCCCGGTGAATGAGGCTTCCTGCAGAGTTGCTGCATTGCATAAGACCATAGGTGGAATCCTGAACACCATTCAGAATTTTCTGAGGTGGGAAATTTCCACTTGAAAGGTCAAGCCTGGAAGATACTTCTTGAAAGGAAGAACAGCAGGAAAAACAAACAAACAAACAAAAAAACAATAACAGTAGCCTAACTTACTACTGGTAGCGTAGTGGTTACGAATCGGACTATCAACCTTAAGGTCAGCGGTTCGAAACTACCAGCCGCTCCGCGGGAGAAAGATGAGGCTTTCTACTCCCGTAAAGATTTACACCCTCGGAAACCCTGTACAGGGTCACTATGGGTCGGAACCGACTCGACGGCACTTAACAACAACAACAACAACTGACTACTACAAGAATAAGTAAGTTGCTCACCCAGGAGACATCAAGGCAAGTGGTCGGGTCTCCTCAGGGAAAGCCCCATTCCAAGACTAAGATTCAATGGGAATACACAAGCAGACATGTGCTCTGACTGATGACCACATTGGTCACTGATAAGGGGAAAAGAGGGAAAAACAGCAATGAAGCTGCGAGGGAAGTCCAACCACATTCAATAGATTCCTGTGAACCCATGTGGAGACCTGGTTGGACAGCATTTTGGCAAGACAAGGGGACTCCTGGCCCCAGAGTTAGTAACATAGCCACAGAGGACTACAGTGGAGAATGAAGCATCCAGGTGATAAGAAGAGAGGGCATAAGCACAAGAACATTTACACTTGTAGATAATACCCACTTGACCTGGCTTCAATAACTGGATGATCAGAGCTCACCTAGAAGAAGGAAGAAGAGGAAAAAAAGAGTAATCTGATACAATTTGATGAATTTGACCTACACCTATGGATGCAGTAGCTCAAAAAAAGGGAATAAATTTTATAGTGAGGATCATTCCCACCCCCTCAATACACAGGATAGACAGGGATGGGCAACTTGGACATTGGCTACCCAAAATGGGAGGCTACAAAGACAAAAAGTGACTGGCTTACAAGCTTTCAAGAGAGAGCCTAGATCTAGAGGGCACAGAGAAAGGTAGACTCTCCACTGAGTAGTAACCAATCTGTCTGGGCAGGGCTGATGAAAGGAGATGAGGATAACACTCATGTGGTACAATGGTGAATAATTGTTATCAGGATTACTTGCGAGGGTTGGAAATGTAAAGGTTTTGTAGCAAAAGGAGGGGAGTGGTTGACTTTGCAATCTAGGAGCGGAGGTCCCTGGGATCATCAAGGGAGAAGAGCGGAGAGCAGGACCCTATCCAGAGAAACAATGACACCAGAGATGGAGGCAGAGATAATGACATGGAGAGATGGAATGGCTGGGCACTCTAGACCTGGAAAGGGAAAGGGGCTGTGTGCTGATGACCAGGAGGCAGGCTTGCAGGATATACCATTTGGCTGGTTGATAATGCAGGGAGGGGATTGTAACCATGGAAATGTAACAATATATGATAGGATGAATGTAAAGCTAATGTTCTCCCATGTAGAGTATCACATAATTCACAATAAAACATTTAAGAAGAAGAAGAAGAAAATAATGCCATGATAAAAAAAGAAAAAAGACAAAATTAGAACTAACGGATCCTTTGGGTTTTTGAAACTAAATCTTTACGGGGGCAGACAGCCTTACCTTTCTCCCATTGAGCAGCTGGTGGGGTTGAACCACCAACCTTGCAGTTAGTAGCCCATTGCTTACCCAGTGCCACCAAGGTTTCTGAAATCCAGTTATAAGCCTTGCCTAAGAATCTAGCTTACTGAAAAGACAGACTAGCCAGTTTGTTTACTGAGTAACACAGCAGAACTAGCAGATCAAACGGAAAACTGCTTCCCCTGAACAGGGAGTTAGCCACGACTGGCACTGAGGCTGCTTGCCGACTGGCACTTGAACCTATAACTGGTGGCATTCTTCCCTTCCTGTCCTTCCTTCTTCCCTATATTTCCCCTTTCTGTATCCTCTCCTTTTATTTTTTCTCCCATTCTTTTCCTACTACATTTGGCATTAGCCCCCATAGACATCGCTTAGCCCAGCTAGCCTGTGGTACGAGTTATTTGAGATCAGAGGTAGGGAACACGGGCCATGTGAGGCCCATGAAATCACTTGGTCTGACCCTGCCAAGATAACGGCAGTTCCAGCCATTACATTGGTGATGGTGTGCCTTGAAGTTGGTTCCTATGCATAGTGATTCTGCATAGCATTTTTTGAGGTTATAAGTCTTTATGGGAGCAGAAAGCCTCATCTTTCTCCAGTGGAAGAGCTGGTAGTTTCGAACTGCTGACCTTGAGGTTGGCAGCTGGACTCGAAATCAACTGTGGTACTAGAGTGCCTTATCCATTACATTGTTGTTGTTGTTAAGTGCTGTTAAGTCAGTACTTACCCATAGCGACCCTGTTTAGGGTTTTTGAGGAACGGCTGGTGAACTTGGGATTCCAATGGACCTTGCAGTCTAGCACATTAACCCACAGAGCCACACCAAAACTCTCAAATATAGCAGGCTAATTTTTAAGTTGGTAATTTTGTATGGTCCGATAATGATGCTATAAATTTTTACAGAAAAATGTTCCCCACTCCTGTTTTAGATACTGATTGAGGCTATAGAAAGTCTTTTGTCTTAAGTGAGTCACATTGAATCCAATAGACAACCTAATGGAGGGTTCTGAGAACACCTCAACAATGGTCAAGAAACATATTCTTGGTACAATCATTTGGGTGAAGCAGTTTTGAAGAAAGAAAAGGCTTTGAGGATTCCTTTTTTGTCTTTTAATTGATTTGCCTTCCAGGAAAAAGGATTGCCTAAATAAAACCTGCCGATGATGTTGTGAAAGGGTCCCATCATTGGAATGAGCTTAATTTTCTTGTGTCTTAGTAAGAAACTTGGCTCTATTGGAAATGCACAGGCGTCACTCTACCCACTCAAGGTCAACATGATAAAGTTCTATCAGACCAAGTGTCTAAATGAACCTGAGACTCTTACCAAGGTCAGAAATGCTGTACCTAAAGCCAAAAGATCTCCACTGGGTTTGTTTTGACTTGTGACCACAAATTTGTCTACGTGTCCAATCACATTATAAAACAAAGCACAGAGTTTTATAGCACAGCATCCTTCAAAGCAAAAGGAGACTTAGAGGAAACTTTCAGTGGATTCTCTGATTTGTCTTGCCCTTTGATTTCCATAGGTCTTCAGATTGCTTCCCCTGTGGATCAAGAAGACGAGAAATGATTTTGGAAATGCTAAACCCAATGCATTATAACATCACCAATATGGTGACTGACGTAATGCCTGTCACCACCATGCCAGTTCTGCTGCTCACTGGCTTACTTCTCCTGGTTTGGAATTTTGAGGGCACATCTTCAATCCCAGGTAAATAAGTCATGTATCTCTGTAATAAATGCCCGTGGGAGTAAAGAAAATTGTGCAGAAAGACAAAGAGTCAGCCTGGGACATCTGTGAAGACCAGGCCATGTTAGCAAATTGGTGTTGTTGATGTTAAGTGTCATCAAGTCGGTTTCCACTCATAGAGACAGGGTTACTGAGGCTTGAGATCTTTACAGGAGTAGAAAGCCTCACCTTTCTCCCCAGAGCAGCTAGTGGGCTTGAAACACTGACCTTGTGGTTCATAGTCCCGTACTTATTGTATGGAGCCACTAGTGTTTTCCACTAGTAAATTGTTGTTGTTTAATGCTATTGAGTCTGTTCCGACTCACAGTGATCCTGTATAGGGTTTCTGAGGAGAGGCTGGTGGGTGGGTTTGAAGTACCAATCTTACAGTTAGCAGTCCAGTACTTATCCTACAACACCTCACCAGGTCTCTCACTAGAAAATTAGAACATAGAAAATATGTCTTTGATACTAATTATCTGCACATTTAAAATCAAAATAGACTTTTACAAAATATCTTAGATAATGGCTCCCAGTCTACACTTTGCTTTGGTAAAGTAGATTTGGCATGAGTATCCTTTCAGACAAACTTGAGATAGGGTAGAAAAAAAATCTAATTTAATTCCAAGGATTTTTTTTTTCCTTTTCTTTCTATTAATTTCAATTTTGCTCTGAAGGTGAAAATGTCTCTGAAATGCCTTCTGTACTCTTCTTGGTCCTACTTCATGTCATCCTTCTTTGTATGCATCCTTTTCTTTATGTATGTATCTGTTTTTATTCCTTGGGGATTTAGTGATGGAACTGCATAAGAGTTGGAAAAGACCTGACTGGCAAGGGAAAATGGGCGTCATTACCATTCCCTTCAACATCAAAACCTGATAGAATCTCCAAAAAGCTGTTGTAGGTCAATTAAAAGTATGGTTGTTGTTGTTAAGTGCATGGAGTCAGTTATGACTCATAGCTACCATGTATAGTTTCCAAGGAGCACCTGGTGGGTTTGAACTGCCAATCTTGTGGTTCGTAGTCCAGTGCTGATCTTCCAGCGCCACAAGAGGAGTATGATTAAACTAAACTTAATTAAAAGTACAGCATAATGTAATTATGCAGATAATTTAAATGGAAAAATCTACCTCTCCAACACGAATGCTAGAATCATCATAGTCACTTCTGACTGTTGTTTTTGTTTGTTTAGTTTTCAGAGAAAAGTCTTGATGACAAGATATTTCTCCCAAATCTCATAAAATAACTGATATGGTTTTAACTCTTGCACAATTTTAGGTGTGATTGCCCTCATCTAGTGTGCTGGGAATATAAGAGATTGGTACAAAGTGCCGCATGTCTGGATCCTTTTAAAAAATTTCCCCAATAATTGCCTGTCTCTCTATGTGATTCAACCTAGTATTTAGGTTACATTAATACACAACTCAATATAGAACTTTTAGTTGGTTTTGTTCTCAATTACGTCCTTTCTCTTATCCCCAGAGGTATTTCTTGCCTTTTCAGAGTTTACATCTCCAAACATTATAGCTTAATTATGCCTGATTTTAAACATTTTATCCATCAAATCATATCTTCTCTCTCTTGATGTTTTTGTTCAATATTGTGCTGGTGAGACTCAGGCACATTGTGACATACTGCTATCGCTTGCTCATTTTTATTGCCAGGTTGTAGTCAGTTATATGAGTATCTCTTGGTTTATTTACCAGTTCTATTCCAGCAGTTCGAAACTACCAGCTGCTCTGTGGGAGAAAGATGAGGCTTTCTGCTCCCGTAAAGATTTACAGCCTCGGAAACCCTGTTCAGGGTCGCTATGGGTCAGAACCAACTCAATAGCACTTAACAACAATAATAACAAAATTCCTTATGAGCATTTGAGGTTACTGAGGATAATGCTGCTGTGAACATCCATGTGCATATCCCTTGGTTCCCATGTGTACAGGTTTGTCTAGGGGTATGCCTAGGAGTGGCATGTAACAACCTCTTGATTATGACTTCTGGTGTGAGGTCTTAGCTATTGACTTCCAGGAGGGAGAGGTCTTTGCACAAAAATACAGTAAAGTATTTACTGCTTCTCTTGAGATCCAACAGAGGTTCCCACAATCCCTGTATGCCTAGGTACGCATTCTCCCAGATAAACAGAGCACAGTTTAGTGTGGACACAACCAGAACATTTCCCTGATGTGCTACTAATGTTGCTTCTTTGCTAGAGCATCCTTTTCCCCAGCCAGAGTACAAGATACACATTTTGTGAATTTTTTCACTTAATCTTTTTTCTGCCATGGGACTCTAATGGGGACCAACTTATGCTTTCATACCACCTCCAGTCCCTAACTAGTAGTTAGTGTCTATACCTCGTAGGGACCTCTGAGTTCGTTAGATCTATTAAATTGACATACAATTAGTGGCAAACAAGGCACTAAGCTCCAAAACTCTTCCTCTCTTCTGGTTAGCACTCTCAGGTTATCAAACAAAGCACAGAGTTCAAAGCAATACCCCCTTTTCAGTCAGTAATGACAGCTCTCCACTGCTGTGTTGGTTGTGTGCACACAACACAGCGACCCTGTAGAGGGTTTCTGAGGCTGTAAATCTTTATGAGAGCATAAATAGTTATTGAGCATCTAGAATATAACAATGTGTAAATACTCAGCCAAATATTTTGTTTTAAGAGTATTTAGTTTATTTGAAGTAGGCGTAACTGATGACACATTAAGAAAATATATGAATGGGCTTCAAAAACTTCATGGAAAACTTCCATTATCTTTTCATTCCATTTTCCCACAGACTTCTTGAAACCTCCTCCTAGAGTCACTCAAATCTTCTTGTTGAAATCTCTCCAAAATATAATGAAACTATTTTAATATAAAGTCAGTTATCCACTTTGAAATGTGATGAACTTCCTTCCCTTTAAAGGACAAAAAAAAAAAAAAAAATGAAGAAGGTGACAGTCTCCCAGTTTCAACCACATTAACTTAGCTCTTGCTGAAAAGCAAACATTATTTGCTGAATTTAGGACTACACATCTGATTTAGATAATTCAGGCAAAAAGTTAAATTATCCAGATTATAACACAACTCTTGCCCCTGGAGTAAGAGTGCAATCTCATACAGTTGGGTATGTTTTGGCTTCATAACAATTTTACTGGAACCACAGGAGAAAGATTTAGAAGAGCCACTTCCCAGTAAAACTCCTAAAATCATTCCAAATAGTTTATAATCTAATTTTTCACCACCCTTGGTAAAATGAAGCTACCAGGTTTAGCACCGCACCATGCTCCCTGTATTTCTCCCTGGTTCTAGATTCTTCACAATTCTGCATCTACTGAAGCAATGGCCTCAGTACGTGGTCACCCTCTTGTGGTCACTGGATTTCAACTCTAGTTTGACCATGGTGGTGGTAGTGGTGGTGGTGGTGTGCCGTGGAGTTGTTTGACCATATTCGTTGTGAATTCCCTAGTTCTTAGCTTTATTTTTGCCTAATGGGGTTTAATTTAAGATTATTTTCTTAAACTGAGTCCCTTTGGAGGAAGCAAAAGAGATGGCTATTCTTTATTTAGACATTATCTTTGCAGACCTTATTTCTTTCAGTTAAATGGAGTCCTGATGTGACGCTGTAGGATCAGCACGGACTTCTAACCTCAAGGTCAGCGGTTCAAACCTACCAGCAGCTCCTTGGAGACCCTATACAGGGTTACTATGAGTCAGAACCACTCAACAGCACTTGGCGACAATAAAAACAGCACACCCAAACTACAAGCTCTAATCCAACCATTCCTTCAAAATCAAGCTTTCAGGTAAAACTAAGCAGCCAGGCAGACCTGTCAGCTTGTCACTTGCTCTAGTTTTCATACTTGTTACCAAATGGATGGCCGACTTGTACCTGAAAAGCACCGGCTCAGCTGGGCATGCAAGAAGGGAGCAGACCCAGTTTGCTCAGACTCTGAGGCGACTGAGACCAAATTGTGTGAGAAGTAAGCTATTTTTTAATTTATAGAGGGGTGAAGAGCCTCCTGCTAAGCTTATTGGTAAATGCCATCATGTCAAACCTGACTCATAAAAACCCTGAATAGGATTTCTGAGTCATGGCTGACGGGTTTGAACAACCAATCTTGAGGTTAGCAGTCCAGTGCTTATCCTAGAGAGTCACACTTTATTTTGGTTTTCTTTTTAGGAACTCACAACTAGACATCAGAAGATGTAAAATAATAAAGGCAAGAGCAATAAAAAGAGGTTTCTAATTTGATGTTGCTAAAATGTTTACTGTGATGTGATCCTTTTCCTAGGTCCTGGCTATTGTTTGGGAATTGGCCCCGTCATTTCACATTGCAGATTCCTGTGGATGGGAATTGGCAGTGCCTGCAACTACTACAACAGGATGTACGGAGAGTTCATGCGGGTCTGGATCTGTGGAGAGGAGACACTCATCATCAGCAAGTGAGTCTGTTCAGAAACTGAGACAAAGATTTGAAATTGAGACTGGGCTTGGAACTTATCAGCCTTTACAACCTAAGGAGCCATTTCCTATATTCATGGGAGCTCTGGTGGCACAGTGAATTAAACACCGGGCTGCTAAACGAAAGATTAGCAGTTTGAACCCACCAGAAGCTCTACGGGAGAAAGATGAGACAGTGTGCTTCTATTTAGATTTTCAGCCTGTCACGTAAGGCATTCTGAATAGGAATGGACTTGGTGGCAGTGAGATGGGCTTGGGAGTGTATCTATACCTATATAAACTTCACTGGTTTTTCTTCTCTAAAGAGCTCGGCCTAAGATACCTGCATTTAGGGGAAGTAGCTAAGCATGATTGGAGTGGTTTTGTCTTATTATCTTATTCTTGAATCTAGGCACGGTGTTCCCATTATCCATTGCTCCTGTTGAGTTGATTCTGACTGATAAGGACTTTGTAGGACAGAGTAGAACTCTAATCCACGATTGTAATCTTTACAGAAGCACCTTTCTCTCTCAAAGCAGTTGGTGGATTAGCAACCGAACACTAAACACTGTACCATCAGGACTCCTGGTAAGGTAGTTATTGTTGTTAAGTGCCGTCAAGTTGGTTCCGACTCATAGCGATCCTGTACAGGGCTTCTGATGAGTAGCTGGTGGATTTGAACCATCCACCTTACAGTTCAAATCAATTTTGCAATCCAGGGCTTATCCTACAGTGCCACACGAGGACTACTTGATAAGGTTGTTGCTGTTGTTAAGTGCCATCAAGTTGGTTCTGACTCATAGAGACCCTGTACAGGATTTTCAAGGAGTGGCTGGTGGATTTGAACTACCGACCTTGCGGTTCAAGCTGAACTTGTGGGTCAGCTCATTATCCCATACTAGGACTCCATCCCATGCTAGCTCATTATCCCATACTAGGACTCCAGCTCATTATCCCATACTAGGTGGTAGTAGTAGCTATAAAGCCAACATTGGAGTGAAAAAAAAAAAAAAATGTATTAGAGAAAGAACTAGAGTATCAGACTTTAGGCTTCATCTGATAAATTCCCTGGGCTGCAAAGAGGGATTCTCAGGGAATTTGAGATTCCTTAAGTAGGAATCTTAACCCTGTAACAGTGAGGGAGTAGCTTCTGACCACTCTGCTTTCTTAATTAGGAAAGTGACCTTTCCTGCCCTGACCAGGCCAGGGCTGATACAGGCTGGGAACGTGGATGCAGCCCGTGTGGCTCTCCCCAAGCTCGTCCAGCTTCTTTCTTGTCCTGTCCTCTCAGGTTTTTCTCTTGTTGGAATCTTTGTGTTCTCTTTAATTGCCTCAGAGCCGTTCAATTTTGTTGTTAAAGGCTGGTCCCCGAGGTAATAGGACATGTTTGTCCCAGTCTCCTTTTCTTGCTCACTCTTCAAGTTCCTTGCAGAACTCCCCGTACCTCTTGAAAAGACCCTATTTGACCTCAGAAAGCTTTTTATTTTTATTTGAATAGTTTGCAAGATATATAATTTTTTCTTTTCAAAAGTTTGAGGTCTGTAGTCATTACCACTGTGTAGAAATTATAGTCCATTTTGTCCGGGCCTTTCCAACCAGCATGGTCCTAAAATGGTTGGCGCTATAGAACTCCAGAGGAAGCTCTCAGATGTTAGAGGTGCAGCTGGTGAGCTTGAACTGTCAACTATCATAAATTAGGATCATCCAAAGCTTCTTGTCGTTCTTACATGCCATTGAGTCTGTACCGAGCAATTTGGGTGAGCTGACTAACCTGGGCAAGTTTTGAATGGCCTAAAATGCCAGTCATTCCTAGATGAGTGAGCATCATTCCCCCATGAAGGGGCACAGCAGTACCTATGCCTGAGCTATTCTCTAAACTAACACATGCTGCATATGAGACAGTATTTCATACATGTGTATATGACTATGGAGTCCTGGTGTGGCATTGTGGGCTAATGCATCAGACTGCAAAGTTGTTTGAACTGCAAGGTTGGTGGTTCAAGCTCACCAGCCGCTCCTTGGAAACTGTATACTGGGTTGCTATGGGAGCAACAATATATGAATATGTGTCATAAATATAATCCATAAAGGTGATTGTCAGCTCACCTACTAGTTAAGGTCATATTTGCACATTTGTTAGCAGTTAACATACTGATTAGGGTTGTATTTGCACATTCATTTTAATCATGTATTAATTTGTTGTGGTGGTTAAGTACTGTCGAGTTGATTCTGACCCATAACAACCCTGTATAGGCTTTCCAAGGAACGGCTGGTGAGTTTGAGTCACCGACTTTGCAGTTCAAACGACTTTACAGTCTGACATATTAGCCCACAGCGCCATACAGGGCATTAATTCATTCTCTTTATATACCTTTACTGAGAATTTACAATATACCAAGCATTGGATAGAGTCCTGATGTGATACTATAGAATAAACACTAGACTGATAACTGCAAGGTTGGCAGTTCAAACCCACCAGCCACTCCTCGGAAACCCTATACAGGTTGCTATGAGTCGGTACAGACTCAATGGCATGTAAGAACAACAAGAAGCTTTGGACGATCCTAATTTATGATAATTGACAGTTCAAGCTCACCAGCTGCTCCTCGGAAGCCCTACACAGGGTCGCTATGGGTCAGAACCGACTCGGCAGCACTTTAACAGCAATTACTGTCGCTCCATTCATTAAATGGAATCCTGGTGTGGTGCTAAGGGTTAATGCACTGGACTGCAAAGTCAGGTTGAATTGTAAGGTTGGTGGTTCAAGCTTACCAGCTGCTCTTCAAAAACTCTATTCAGGGTTGCTATGGGTTGGAACCAACTGAATGGCATTTAACAACAATAACATTCATTAAATAAATAGATACTTATTGAGGATTTATATGGGCCATATATTGTTCCAGGCTCTTGAAGTACAGCAGCGAACAAATCAGCCCCAAAAGCCGACCCTCGTGGAGCAATATGAGTGTATTTTAAATATGTTAGTAATAACTAGGAGCCCTGGTGTGGCACTGTAGAATAAGCACCGGGCCTCAAGGTCGTTTTGAATTGAGGGCTGGCAGTTCAAACCCACCAACCACTACTTGGAAACTCAAAACAGGGTTGCTGAGTCTGAACTGACTTAACAGCACTTAATAGCAACATCAGTAATAAATAAGTAAAACATATAATAATACATCAGTAGGATGGTCAACTCAGTTTTCCTGGGACTTGACAGGGTTTCTCAAATATGGAATTTTCAGTGCTAAAATTAAAACTGTCCTGTACAGATCAGGCAGTTGGTCACACTTTTTACCAGGTAGATATTTGTTGTATAGAAAACTAAAATAGGCAAGAGGTCTTGGAAGGAGGGAAGGACCAGTTGCAGAGCTAGTTTTAAGCAGGTGGTCGAAGCAGGTCTCATTGAGAAGATGTCATTTCAATAAAGACCTGAAGGAAGTAAGAGAGTGAACCACAAAAAGATCTAGAGGAAAAATATCAGAGAGAGCAGGAACAGCAAATGCAAAGGTCCTGAGGTAGAATTCTGTCTGAAATGTTCCAGGCACCGTTGTGGCTGAGTAGAAGAATAGTAAAGGTGAGGTCATAGAGGTTACAGGTTACCCAGTAATGTCAGGCCTTGGAGGTCACTGTAACAATCTGGCTTTTAACCTGTGTGACATGGGAAGCCATTGAAGAATTCCAAGCAGAAGATTGACATATCTGACTCATTTGCATTCTGGCTGCTATCTTGAGAACAGGTTGCAAGTATACAAAAGATAGAAAGAGAAGGACCAGTTAGAAATTTACTGCAATAATCCAGGTGACCAACGATGGTGACTTGTCCAGGTGAGAGTCGCTGTTGTTGTTAGGTGCCATCGAATCGGTACCGACTCATAGTGACCCTATGTACAACAAAACAAAACACTGCCCGATCCTGGGCCAACCTCACAATTGTTGCCACGCTTGAGGCCATTGATGCTGCCACTTTGCCAATCCATCTAACTGTGGTGTGTGTGTGTGTGGGGGGGTGTCTTCCTGTTTTTCTCTGACCCTCCACCTTACCAAACATGATATCCTTCTCCAGTGACTAGTCCCTCCTGACAATATGTGCAAAGTATGGCCACCCTGGCCTCCAAGGAGCACTCTGGCTGCATTTCTTCCAACATGGATCTGTTGGTTCTTCTGGCAGCCCATGGCACTTTCAATATTCTCCTCCAACACCATAACTCAAAAGCATCAATTCTTCTACGGTCTTCCTTATTCACTGTCCAGCTTTCACAAGCATATGAGGTTATTTAGTAGAGGTGATAAGATGATGAGATGAAATTAAACAGAGAAGAGTAAAGTTGATGTCACAGTTTTTCCCTTGAACACTTAGAAGAATGAGGGTTTCATTACCTGGGATCGGTGGAGCTGATTAGAATAGGGAGAAAATAGGATTCTACTTGACACATGTTAGACTTGAAATGTCTATGAGATATCTAAAAGGAATGAATGTTGACTAAGGAAAACTGAACCTCGAGACTCTCCAGTATAAAGTGCTCAGACACTAACAAAGGAAACTGAAAAGGAAGAACCAGACAGAAAAGGGAAGCCTGGAGACATGTGGTGGTCTGGAAGCAAAGTGGAGAATGTTTATCCAGAGGAAATGGTCATCCACATCGAACACTGCTTACAGGACACGTGAATGAGCGTTGCGTTTAGTTAACAGAGAGGTGGCAGGTGACCTTGACAAGAGCCATTTCAGTGGAGTGGTGAGGGCAAAAGGCTGACCAGAGTCAAGAATGAGAAGATAAGAATCAGAGGTAGCAGGTATAGACAACTCTTCCAAGGAGATTGCTATAAAGTGAGCAGAGAAATGGAACAGTCGCTGGCGAGGATAAGGGGGTCAAATGAGTTTGCTGATTAAGATAGTTGATAGGATAGCATGTTTGTGATGATGGGACTGACCAACTATAGAGAAAGGTTGTTGATGGAGGAGAAAGAAGGGCACTGTTCTAGGGAATATGTGAACATTCAGGAG